AAGGCTATCATCCACACAGGTGGACCCTGGAGCTCAGCGCTGGCGGTGTGACGTTGCTACCGGTGGGGGCCGAGCCCGTTGCTATAAAACGTGAGACATCAGCAACCCAAATTAAACCGCAATGGAATTTTTATAAAGCTGATTTTTACTTATTTTATTCTTCTTTAGCTTCCGCCGATTGAAGTTTGATTAACGAGACACAGGAACCAGAGGACGCTTTGGAGTTTTTTATAATGTTTTTTTACGGTGTTTTAGATAAATGTGTACCGAAAAAGCGGGAAAATAAAGTAGATCAAAGACACTACCCCGAGTGGTATACTAGTGATTTAATCAGGGACATAAAATTAAAGGCTAAACTTCACAAGTTATATAAATCGACCGGATCTCGTGCTGATTACAAAGCTTTTTCTGCTTGCAGGGCCCGAATTAAGAAAACTATTGATAGCGCATACCTAAACTATCAGAATCGTGTGCAAAGTAACTTGACAAAAGATCCTAAGTCTTTTTGGGATCATATTAGGGCCGTTAAACGTAAACAAATATTGTAAGATGGAGTAACATTGTCAGATCAAGAAAGTGCGACTGAATTTGCCAAATACTTCTACTCAGTGTACAACAGCGAGCCAGCGCGTTTAAACGTAGACGAGGCGGTGCGGTGGTAGCGAGCGGTGCGTGCAACGCGCGCGTGCTCGTGACTGACGTCTGACTCAAGCCGAAGCGCTCAGTGGGCCCGGACGGGATACCGGCGTTTGTGATGCGAGACTGCCGCTCAGTGCTGGCGGAACCGTTATTACATATTTACAACTTGTGTCTGAAGAATTCATATTTTCCAGGACGGGATACCGGCGTTTGTGATGCGAGACTACCGCTCAGTGCTGGCGGAACCGTTATTACATATTTACAACTTGTGTCTGAAGAATTCATATTTTCCAGGACGGGATACCGGCGTTTGTGATGCGAGACTACCGCTCAGTGCTGGCGGAACCGTTATTACATATTTACAACTTGTGTCTGAAGAATTCATATTTTCCAGGACGGGATACCGGCGTTTGTGATGCGAGACTACCGCTCAGTGCTGGCGGAACCGTTATTACATATTTACAACTTGTGTCTGAAGAATTCATATTTTCCAGAAAGTTGCAAAATCACGCGTGTTATTCCGATACCTAAGGGAGGTAACAAACCTACAGTTGAATCCTTCAGACCAGTGGCGATTCTCTCAGCACCTGCGACGGTGTTTGAGGGAGCCATTCAGCGAAGTTGGCGGACAGATTGCACCGCAGTTATCGGACGACCAGCACGGCTTCCAGCTAGAGAGGAGCACAACTAGTAACCTCTTAAATGACATGACGTATTTGGTTCCTCATGTTGATGCAAGGTTGCAGGTAGATCCCGCCTACTTTGATTTTAGAAAGGCGTTCGACTTGGTAGATAACGATACCCTACTGTCAAAGATGGCGAAAGCTGGCTGCACACCTAAACTGCTTCATTTTTTTGCAAGTTATATGAGAGATAGAAAACAGTATGTGGAGAATGGCGGGTACCGGTCGGAGCCTTATTTTACTAGGTCTGGTGTGAGTCAAGGCAGTAATTTAGGGCCGTTAGAGTTCAACATAATGATTTACCCGAAGTAGTAATTGAGGCTAAATGTCTATTATTTGCAGACGACCTAAAGTTGCTTTTAGCCATCACCATCACCAAGTAGTTCAATGGAGCCAAAAAAATAAACTGCAGTTTAATATTTCAAAATGCTCTATTCTATCATTTAGTCGTACAAGGGCACCACTCCATTACGACTATAACGTGAATGACGAGCTAATGAAGAGGGAAAAATCAGCCCGGGATCTTGGAGTCCAGATGGATGTCACTACGATGACATTCCGGGAGCACATCATGAATATATGTAAGAAAGCTTATAAACGACTAGGGTTTATCATTCGCAGAGCAGCAAAATTTACGAACATTAAAGCAATCTCAGTGCTATATGATGCTCTAGTAAGGAGTCAGCTGGAGTGTAACTCGGCAATATGGGCTCCATATGAAAATAAATACAATCTTATGCTGGAGCGCATTCAGAATAAATTCACGCGATTTATATATCATAAGCTTTATGGGGTTTATCCATCCTACCCTACCCTACCCTTGATGTATCCAACCCTGTTTGTTTTAGTTGGATACAACAAGTTGGAAACTAGAAGAGATCTAGCGCTCGTAACCTACATTTTAAGGGTGTTCCGTGGTTACATCAGCAACTCGGGTGTGCTAAAGTGGATAGGCTTATGCGTGCCTGATAGGTATGTACAGCGGCGACGGCGGCCGAGCTTGCTCGCGATGCAACGCAGCAGGACTAAACTGGTTCGCAATATTGGTAATACCCCCCCTCACGCGAACGATACTCGTACACATACTGTATATATATATATATATATATATATATATATATATATATATATATATATATATATATCAATGTACATATATACCTCAGCGATCAGGACTGACTGACTGACTTAGTGACTTAGGCAAGTGTTGACTTGTGATAGTTAAAACATAAATTAAATTTTATAAAACCCCCCGAAAGGAAAGAAAAACTGAACGATTCATCAGCCTTTCTTATATAAGAAAATCCGATCATTAAGTTTCCTTTTAATTAAAAAAAAAACCGGTTCATCTGCTTGGGCGCTACTATGTCATAGGCTGATTCACGGATATACAGATACACACGTTAAATTTATAAAACCCCTCTGTTTGCTGTGGGGGTTAAAAAAAACTATCTGTATTTAGAGCTGCAGAAGAGTTTGCTTGTATTAGCCATGTAATGATGGCATGAAATTATTCATCACCCAATTCACGATCATGCTACCCAGCACATCTGCACTTAAAATCGTAATTAACGATATCAGTGGTGTACGACGGGGGTCGAACGCGAGCTGCAAACATTCTGTGAATTTTACAGTCAGTGCTTAACCCCTGAGTTCCCACGGCTCTAGATGGCAACAAACTAATCGGTGTACGAATATTTTAGATGCATTATACCGAGAACGGCTTTTTAACTATTTTATGCTTATATTATAATATTTTTAACTATTTATGTGATGCAGTCGAGAATGGCAAAGCGCAATGATGTGGCTTAACAAAACCCTGTTCACTCTTACCTTGAAGAAACCCACGTTCTAATCAGATGGAAAGACATTTAGGAAACATCCGGTACTAACAGTACTTGCTTCTAGTACTAGTAAAAACTAGTTTTATAAGCTGACTTCAATTCGAGTGTTCGTGTTTTTGTATATATGTTACGCGATATATTCGCAGATTGTGAACCGATTTTAATAATTCTTCTTTTTATTAAATAGGCTTTATCTCAAAGGTGGTCTCATTTTACTACTTTGAAGAAAAAGATTCTACAATACAATACTCTTTATTGTACACCAACAAAACATAAATATAACAAATAATGAACAAACAATGAGGGAAAAACAAAAGGCGGTCTTATTGCTACATAGCAATCTCTTCCAGACAACCCAGCAGAGGAAATTAATAAAAATAAAAATAAGATTAACGGGTAGGGTACACTAAATAAGACAAAAAAATACAACTTATATACTATAAAATGACAACATACTTAAGGTATATTAGTGACCATAACTAAGAGAAGGAAGAGAGAGGAGTTAAAGAGACAAATAGTGTTCCTTAATTTGTTTCTTGAACACATTTAAAGATTGAGCACTTTTAATCGACTGGGGTAAGGAGTTCCAGAGTCTTACTCCAAGAACAGCAAAAGATTTATCATAAATGTCGAGGAGTGTACAGGACATTGGAGCGAAAGGTTTTCTTTGGACCGTAAGGAAAAATCGTGACAAGAGATAAGAAATTTAAAACGTTCTTTTAGATAGGGAGGACTTGATACATTAAATAAGACGCAGTAGAGCGCAGAAAGTATATGAGTATTCCGACGAAGACGGATTGGCAGCCACTTGAGTTTAGTGCGGTATTCCGAGACATGGTCATATTTACGAAGCCGCTCAAGTTTATTAAGTTGCTCCTCGGTGATATCAAGGTAAAAAATGTCAGCATAGTCGAGGATAGGGAGTAGCAAAGATTGTGCAAGCGTAATTTTAGTGGAAATGGGTAAAAAGTAGTTAAGCCTCCAGAGTGAAGCATACGCCGCAAACATTTTTCGGCTCACTGCATTAATTTGGGGTATCCAAGAAAGACTGGAATCTAAAAGGATACCTAAATTTTTAACTACCTCATTATATGGAATAACGATACCATTAAATACAACACGACGATAACAGGACGATATTCAGAAAAACTTGAAAGATTTGCTTTTTTAGGTAAAGGTATGATTTGGGCGTCCTTCTATTGGGAAGGGAAAGAAGATTGTTAGGTGTTAAAAAGTCTAACAAGGGAATGATCATTATACAACTGACATCATCACTTCCGACAGCGTCGGAATGGATACTCGTATGTGTTTCCTAACATCACAATCTGAAAATTGCCTAAACATGAATGGTGAAAAGTCGTTCTACCCCAAAGGGTGGAAAAAAAAGGAAAAAGTTATCGTAAGTTATATAAGTGGTAGTAAGTTATGTAAGATATATATCGGTTCTTTATCTTCGCAGCATTTTAATCATTATTTTTGTTTCTTTTCAGGGGTGGTCCCATATAAATTTAAGGAAAAAATTCCACCTCTAATGGTAGCAAATAAATAACTTCTTTTTTAGCAATTTGAAGTCGGTTTTGAGTTATTTTAAAAGTTATAATTATTCCAATGCATAGTGTTTACGTAAACATAGAAAAACATTATGAATTCACCAATTTTCCAAGGTTTGTCATGGTGTTTCTGACTCCGAGCGATTTCATGTCAGTTGTGACCTTTTCATGGCTCATTGATGATGATAATAAAGAAATTTGTTTATGGAATAAATAGAACAAAACGGGTAAAATAAGACAATGTTGTGTTAATATATCTCTAAATTAATTAATTTATTTGTGTATTATAAATAAAATTGTTTAATCATATTTGCACCTTTTTCACCTATCATTATTGATGGTGCATTTGTATTACCTCTAACAACAGACGGCATAATACTTGCGTCTATCACTCTTAATCCTTGAGTTTTATGAACCCTTAACTGAGGATCTACAACAGCTGTTTTATCACCACTGGGACCCATTTTAGCAGTGCAACATGGATGGTATAAGGAGAACGTTAGTTCCCTTGCGACACATTCTAGGAATTCATCGGTGTTCTTGTTTAAATCTTTACAAGCTTCTAATTCAAGCCAAGTAAGTTTAAATCCGGCATCTTTGAAAGTTTTTGTATCATTTAAAGTTAATATGAATTCCTTAGCGTTTCTTATGAGAACTTTTAGATCTTCTGGCTCTTGAAAATAATTAGCAAATATAAGAGGATGGTCATACGGATTCGTACTATTTAAAATTAATCTTCCTGTTGATTTTGGTTTTAATAACACATTATATATCATTATAACAATATTGTTTTCATTCAGTTCCTCGAACTTTCTGTGTATATCATTGTTTAAACCATGTTTAGCGTGCAAATCCAATAGATTGGCTAAATGTGGAGGGAATACTACATAATGAAACTGAACTTCCGGACTAGTGGCAACAGGATCACTAGAGTTGACAAATGCTATAATTTTGTGTGGACTTGTATCTGAGAGGATACCTTTGTTTGTTAATATATATTCTGTAAATGATTTTGTTATATCCGGTAATGTGTTAAAGCTTCCTTGCACTGGTGCACTGTAATAAATTGGAAAGAATACATGATCTTGTAAATTTTCACCAACTGGTAAATCAGCTTTTACTTCAATGTTTAAGTGTTTTAAATGCTTTTTCGGTCCTATACCTGAGAGAATAAGTAATTGTGGTGTGTTGATCACACCAGCTGATAAGATTACTTCTTTTTTCGTATTAACTGTTATTTCTTTTCCGTATTTTTTGAATTAATATGCCGCTAACTTTGGTTGATTTGGGGTGAAATAATATTTTTGTTACGTGACCATTTTTAACCACATGCAAATTTTTTCTGTTTTTGATAACATTTAAAAATGCTTTTGCGGTACTATGCCGTTTGCCGTCTTTAATTGTTGTATATGCTCTAGTTATTCCCATTTGCGTCGGACCGTTAACATCGTCTAATTCTTTTACTCCTAATTCAGTTACAGCTTTGATGATTATTTCTTCAAAGGCGTGTGCGGGACCAGGTTTTTGTACGTTCAGATATCCTCCCTTGTTATGATACATTTTTGTTTCTTCCGTCAACGGGTCGGAGAAATTTTCACTTTTTTTAAAATACTCTAATACCTCGTCATAACTCCAGCCGTAGTTCCCTTTAGCTGCCCATTCATTATAATCTAATTTATTACCTCTCACATAAAACATCCCATTGACACTACTACTGCCTCCTAGTGTTTTACCGCGTGGCCATGAACAGCGCTTTTCTTTATATCCTCTACAAATTGATTCCTGGGGTTGGTTTTTGTAACCCCAATCCACAGAAGTATCGATATTGTTGTAAAAAAGTTGTGGGATCTAAAAATAATATAAAAAATATTTATTAACGACATCGTACTGTTACTAAAATTTAGAAGTACAGACATTTTCATTTTGTCTTGTAAATGTTAAGAAGTTTTCTGTGTTACTAAATAATTATTTTTGACCGAATTAAGCTACGTTTGTGCGCAAACTAACGTTTGAAGTTTATACCTCTGTAGCTAGATTAGGATTCCCGCCGGCTTCAACAAGTAGAACCTTCCAGTGTGATATCTCGCTAAGCCGGTTAGCTACCACAGCACCGGCTGACCCAGCTCCAACTACTATGAAGTCGTAGTTGGGATCTATAGAAAATTAAGGTGTACATAATTTATTATAAAGATTTTTATTTCGAAATTAATTCATATTCCGTATTTGATAATAACGCTTTACATTTTATATTATACTTATGATTTATTTCCTAACGATGTGATAATAACGAACATAAAGTTCTTTATTTTTCTATGTTTGAATCATTGTTTTCGATCATCTACATTTACTCTAAATCTACAAGTAATTTTTAAAAGAATTAAAAGCGACATCTGTGAAGGGCGCGGAATGTTAATTTAGTAAATTAAACTATCATGGGCTTGAAACCGGCATTCGACTACTCTCGTAAACCATTCCTAGCATGAGCACATACACCACGCCAACAACCAGTTTTTATTAGTATGCTTTATAAAAAATACAATTAAAAATATAAAACGATGTATCGCTCGATAATTTGGGATGTAATATACATCAATCATCTAAATACATCATCTGTATTCAACAAATTTTTGTCATCTATTCAAAAGTTATAAACATATATTAAAGACAAATTAGTGACAATATGATAAAAGGAACAATAAATTGAATTAATTAATAGGAAGTGTCTATTCATATTGTAACACTTCCCCCCTCTCATACAATAATAAATATATTATATTAAATATAATTAATTCACCTTCATAATAAAAATTATATATATGTGACTAGGATAAATAAAATATGTTTTGATCTTTCTAAATGATCTTTCTAAAGGTTTAATAATAGGCCGTTTGTAACATTTTGGCGTGATCGTCTTAGTTAGGATCCTTATTTATACTGTGTTTGTTTAGTAACTTAGTTCTTTTAGGTGTCTTTTGGAAGAATGAATATTCGCTAGAGCAATTGAAAGCTGTTGGTAGTGCCTTATAAGCTAAGTGAACCCCGTTCACGAAGACAGGGCTCGAGAAAGGTTAAGAACATAAAACGTCCCAATTCCACTTGTATCAGGTTTACATTATTAATATAATATTATTTATCCCTTACCGCTCGGAAAAGGCTCAAAATATATTTATACAAAATACCCGATACAAGGGCTTCGCTCTCCTACATTTATTAAAAATGTAGGGGAGGCACACACGCCGTGCACGGTGAGCGCCAACCATTTTGATGCACTCCCCCCGGAGGGAACGCTAATTCGGGAACTGGACCGTAGTCCACAGCAAAATAACTGACGAACCAGTAAAAGAGGCTTGGCCCCTTGTTAGTGCGTAAGCACAAACATCGACCGAAGTCGCGCATGTCAATGCGTGTAAACGCCATACAGAATACGAACGAATACAGCCACAGTGAATGTACGTCACACGGTTTAGGCAAATAGGCACACTGGCCGTAAACCCTCCGTGAGCGCCACCATCTGCCAGACCGCCGCTCCTGCAGACGTGATGTAAGTGTATGGCATCACCACCAATTGCATGATCAGCACGGCTACTAGCCGCAGAGCGTGTCATGAGTCTACCGCTCACCTCAAGGGAATGGGGTCCCACGTTGTGCGGCTTTCGGCCACAGCCTTGAGAGTCTCCTCAGATCCTCCCGCCAGCTACCATCCGCATGAGGTCGACACATAAGCTCCACCAACCAAAACAACGGCAGATATAGCCAAAAGGCAGTTATAAGATAAGAGTAATAACTCACCTTCAGAAAGGGTTTGTGTCACTGACGTTGTCTGACTGATCATGTTTGTCTCGCCCACCAACAAGTTGCCTTCAATCATTCAAAGGTGGGAAAGTTACAGAGATATATTATTATGTTGTTATATAAAACATCATGGAGGGCAGACAGTCTGCAGCCCCGTAATGAAGGGACCCGACTTGGGCAAAGCTACTTAGGTGTGAGTCAAACCAAGACGCAGAGAGCGCCATTGAGAATAGCGTCCCACCAAACAACCATCGCAGAGACGCAATGCTGCAGAACGCAACAAGCATCAATACGACTATCGTCGGCTTACACCATCCCAAGGTCCCCCATACAACCCAGCAGACACCACCACCCGCATTCCTCCATCGACCAGAACCACAAGAGTGCGTCGAATCAGGCGCAGCACACCCGCAGATCCATCACAAGACGCAATACCGCAAGTAGCAGTAAGCATCAATGCAACTATCATACGGATGGCGCCCCCTCACAACACACCCACATGACCCCTATCGATTTTGGTAACAAAGTTTTTATTGTTGTTATATAAAAAATATCACCAACGTATCATAGTAGCACGCTACTAAGACGCCAATGAACAAAACTCCACGTATCATAGCGCTGATGCACTAAGACATGAAGTTGAGTATGCCTGTCACACTTAAAAGTGCTACCAAACACACTCATCATCCTAATCCGAAAGATAGACGACGCATCGCTATGCGCTACGACGTCGCCCACAAAAGGTATGGGTGTGCGATGTCCACGGGAAAGCCGTATTGCTACAACAAACCCGCTTACCACCGGCACTAAGATGTTATTTGTTTACCTCCATCGACCAGAACCACAAGAATGCGTCGAATCAGGCGCAGCACACCCGCAGATCCATCACAAGACGCAATACCGCAAGTAGCAGTAAGCATCAATGCAACTATCATACGGATGGCGCACCCTCACAACACACCCACATGATTCCTATCGATTTTGGTAACAAAGTTTTTATTGTTGTTATATAAAAAAAATATCACCAACGTATCATAGTAGTACGCTACTAAGACGCCAATGAACAAAACTCCACGTATCATAGCGCTGATGAACTAAGACTTGAAGTGGAGTATGCCTGTTACACTTAAAAGTGCTACCAAACACACTCATTATCCCAATCCGAAAGATAGACGACGCATCGCTATGCGCTACGACGTCGCCCACAAACGGTATGGGTGTGCGATGTCCACGGGAAAGCCGTATTGCTACAACAAACCCGCTTACCACCGGCACTAAGATTGTTATATAAAACTGCACCAACGTATCATAGTAGCACGCTACTAAGACGCCAGTGGACAAAACTCCACGTATCATAGCGCTAATGCACTAAGACATGAAGTTGAGTATACCTGTTACACTTAAAAGTGCTACCAAACACACTCATCATCCCAATCCGAAAGATAGACGACGCATCGCTATGCGCTACGACGTCGCCCACAAACGGTATGGGTGTGCGATGTTCACGGGAAAGCCGTATTGCTACAACAAACCCGCTTACCACCGGCACTAAGATGATATGTCTAAGACACATCGGTTAGCCAGTCCAAGTTTACCTCGGACCAATTGCTCGTGAAGCAGCACACACGCCACCATAATATTCCTTTTCAAGTCCCTAATAAGGACTAGTCATTTTGCTGCAGTACTAGGAGCAGTCGGTCACCCGACCACTCCATACAATGCTTATGCATCAAGGAGACCTCCTATAATATTGCTTTTGTATCATAGACCTTACTTTCATAAGTCATGCATATATAGGATTCGAACCCACGACCCTACTATTGTAATGCAAATTCATCATGGACACCTTCTATAGTATTGCTTTTGTATCATAGACCTTACTTTCATAAGTCATTCATATATAAGATTCGAACCCACGACCCTACTATTGTAATGCATATTAATCATAGAGACCTTCTATAGTATTGCTTTTGTATCATAGACCTTACTTTCATAAGTCATTAATATATAGGGTTCGAACCCACGACCCTACGATTGTAATGCATATTAATCATAGAGACCTTCTATAGTATTGCTTTTGTATCATTGAATTTAATATCATAAATCCCTAATATAGGACTAGTCATTGTGCTACAGTACTTCAGGCAGTCGGGCTACCCACCAACCCAAATATATGTACAACTGCAGGAATGTATCTCCGACAGCTCCTCCATACAAGACATTATACATGAACACCTTCCATAACTTAGGAAAATTTCTTTTATACATGAACACCTTCTACAACTTAGGAAAATTTTCTTTTATACATGAACTCCTTCCAAGACTTAGACAATTTTAAACAAATTTTCTAATTATCTTATAAATGTTATTTATCTTTATTTTATAATATTTTCGACTTGTATTTCTATTATTTATCTTATTTTAAATATTTTTTCAAGTTTTTATTAAATTTATTTATTATGGAAGACAATATTTTGCCTTTAATTTATTATGTTATTGGTCTAATGTCTGAAATGTATTTATACTAACTTTATGGTTATTAATGTAATTTTATTGTTTAATATATATCTTTTAAGACTATTTTTGACGCCCCTTTATATTGAATTTAATTATTAATAATAATATTGGGCCGTCACAATATGATAAGCAAACAATAAATTTTTCTCATTTTACAGTTATTTATATATTTAAAAAAGGTCTTCCTAAAATTGCTATCGTATGATTTATTTATTTTTATTCTTCCGATCCAAATGTTTTCAATATATGAAGAAAAAGTTATTCATATTAAAAAAAAACTATTTTTACTAATTTTAGACATACCTATATATCAAATAAAGTATACGCATATATATGCTTTTTATATACTCTGATACTTACTCGTACGATTAGACATTTTACGTCTAATAAAACAATACATTAATCTTGCAATATAAATGGCAGTAGGTTAAGGTGCGGCTGAGGTGGCCTTTGGGCCACCATAAAGCTGCGTTAAAAATTATCGACCGAATAAGTATTTTTATTTATACGAATATCGTATGAATATTTTTTTAATCAAACGTTTATCATTTGGTTAGTAACAGCCTAATATATATAATATAATCAATTATAAATCAAATATATTTTTTTATAATTATAAATTAAATAGCAGGCTTATTACCGTACTATTCGATTAGAACATATGTAGGATCAAAATTATCATTATTGTGTTATATATTTTGTGCACCCAGTTAAACAACAGCGACGACAAGATGAATTGCGGGTATGTTTTAAATTACTTATACTTCTTTACTTAAAGATATTCATTTATTTATTTATTTAAAAACTTAAACGTAACACCTTAAGCTAAAGGGGTACATAGGGCGGACTTAATGCCATGTGGCATTCTCTGCCAGTCAACCCTGGGTGCCAAGGACAATTGTTGGCAGGTGCGACCATTATACGTAAATAATTACATTAAAATATATACATACATTAAAATATACATATATGCAAAGTACATACATACACATTACATTTAAGTATATATACACATATAGTATAAATATACATACAATAATACAATATATATATATATATATATATATATATATATATATATATAATATATATACATGCTTATAAACTTCGTAAATAATTATACAAATGAATGATATATAATATAATATGATGTTTGAATAATATATAATGAAATAAATATCTGAAGTAAAAAAGAAGAAATAAAGACAAAAATTAAGGAAAATAATGTTAATTAGTAGTTTCCTTCAGGTAATGTTCTCGGAGAAGAACTTTGAAGACTTTTTTATTTGCGGCATTCTTAATATCGTTGGGGAGGGTGTTCCAAAGTTGTATAGCTTGTATCGTAAAAGACGACCTAAAAAAATTTGACTTATGCTGTGGAAACCTTAACCTCAGACGGTTTGACTGTCGGGATGTTCGACCGTCGATCGGATGAAAAAAATGAAAATTATCCTTAAGATAAGAGGGCGACCTTGGATCGTTTAAAATTGAATAAAGTACAAGTAAAATTCTAGAGCATCGCCTTTGACGTATAGGTAGCCATTTAAGCTTTGAACGATAGGATGATATGTGGTCATACTTACGTAAACCAAAAATAAATCTTATAGAATTATTAAGAAGATTTTCTGACAGATCTGGGTAACATACATCGGCATAGTCGATAATAGGTAGAATAAGGGAATGAACCAGCGTAAGCTTGGTTTTGAAAGGTAGGAAATTTTTAAGACGATAAAGGGAACGCAAGGTAGCAACAACTTTACAACTAACTTCAGAGATCTGCAATTTCCAGGTCATAGTTTTATCCATGTACAGGCCAAGATTTTTTACGGAATCACAATATGGAATCAAAATTCAATTATAAATTACAGGAGAGAGATTTCCATAATCAACCTTAGCCAATAATTGCGAACTTCCGAATATGATAACTTTGCATTTGGCAGGATTAACTCTTATGGCTTCCAGGTTATCATTTAGTTTGTGTATTACAAAGTTAAGATTATTTAAGCTTGACTGTACATAAAGCTGGAGATCATCCGCATACAGATGGTACGAACAATCTAAAACTGAGGAGATAGAATTTATAAATAAGTAAAACATAATAGGAGAAAGTATTTCCCCCTTGCGGCACACCAGAGTCAATTTCAGCCCATGCAGAAAACCGCTGACCTGAGCGAACCGATTGCTGGCGACCGCGAATATAAGAAGAAAACCATTCCAAGGCTGGGGATGAAAATTTAAGATGTTTAAGGATGGATAGGAGGATACCATGATCCACTGTGTTGAAAGCGTTTGAAAAGTCAATAAGCACCACCACTGTTAATTTTTGCTCATCTAAGCCCTTTCTTATATCGTCTGTGACTTTGATAAGCGAAGTGGTAGTACTGTGACCTGAGCGAAACCCCGATTGAAATTCATTCAGCAGGTTATGTTTTGCAGCGAATACAGATATTTGCTTAAAAACACAGGCTTCCAGAACTTTAGAGAGGTATGGGAGAATTGAAATAGGACGAAAATGGTTAGGGAAAACAGGATTAGGTATTTTAGGAAGAGGTCTTACAAAAGCCTTTTTCCATGCAGAAGGGTATTGACCTGAGTCCAGAGAATAATTTATAATGTGTGTTATAGCTGGAATAAGGTACTCAAGAATCATAGACACCATTTGCTTACTAATTTCATCAAAACCCACAGCCTTGGATTTAATGGCTAACAGAGCTTTTTTAATTTCATCCTGAGTAACAGGGGAGAAACAAAAGTCAGGGATCCGGAGAGGCTGCATTGATTCTATAGAAGCAATAGTTTGAGAACGGACTTAAGGGTCCAATGAAGTAATAGAAACAAAGTGACGATTAATGTCATCCAAATTGAGAGAGGCGCCATATTCCGGAGAATTAGATTTATTAATTCCGATAGACTTCAGGAATTTCCACAAATCAGTGGGCGAAGAATTAGTTATTTTGTCATGAATGTAGCGGCGTTTACCATTTCGTACCACCTGATTGCATCTGTTTCTTAGCGTTTTAAAGTTAGACCAATTTTTTTCTGAGCGATTCTTTTTAAACTTCTGGAAAGCCCGATCTCGTCGTGCCATTGCCACTTGTACCCCTTTATTCATCCAGGGAGCAGGAGGACGCTTAACTTTTACATAATGTACCGGAGCATGAATAATATACAAGTTCAGGATGCTATTATTTAGAAAGGATATTTTATCATCGACGTTAGAAGCCGCCACCAAAGGGCCAAAATCAATTGAAGATGCGTCTCTCCTGAGACTCTCAATATTTATTCTTAAAAATTGCGTAACTGCAGAAAGATAGAGCATTAAATAAAAAAATGATTTTAAATTTAGTCTTCTTTGTTTTATTTTTAACGGTATTGAGTTTAATTTAAGTTACTTTAAGTTCCCAGCTACTTCTCTTGTAGTATACATATTATATGTAATTTATAATTATACTGTTCAGTTATGCTGTTATTAATTTTGTAGTCCTAATATGTTTTAAAAGCCTCCCATCTCCTAATTAATCAAATATAAAAAAAGGTTGCTATTGATTTTGTATATCGGTTAGTCTCGCTAAAACTCAAAACAGGTCCCTGCGTGGTTTAGTTTTTTTCTGTGATGTAACGTCACCATCACGAAAAAAACTGACGAAAAGTCAATATTAGTAGTCGCAGTACTTGAAAGATCGTCACAGGATGTCAGTTTTTGAGATTTATTTTTGAATCGTTATAATTTGAAAAGTACATGACCAAGATTTTATTTTATATTTTTCTGATAACTGTCACGACGTATCGCCCGTTTTCGCACACACATACAAATACACACACTTTGATTTAATAAATTAATTAATTAAAATGTATCTAAATTCAAATCGTATCTACCCTAGCCTGTGACCATGCAAAGTGACAAGGTCAAAGATGCCTACAATTTTTTTTGTTTTATTGCCGTTCGTAAAGTAGGGTGGATGTGATTTGAATTTTGATAGGTTTCAATTAATTAATATATTTAATTAAATTTTTTTATTTTTTGTAAAATATTAGTGTCATAGTCTTCTACTCCGTTCACATATTACACCCTATTTTCTTCCAGATGGTAAAAAAAGGTCTTCCAGTATTAGTTCAAGTAGTATTTACGGAATGAATGTCACTTATTTTTTTAAATACTTTTTTTCATGTACGTGCTTTACCTAAATTTTCATAAATTCCTTGAAAGGTAAAGTTAATATGTATATTAAAATCTAAGTGCAAAATCCATTTATGAAGAACCTGATACCTTTGATGACTGCCTCCGTCGCATCAGCTGGCCATAAATGATCTCCAGATAACGCGCATTGTGCTGCCAATAAATTCTGCAGAGTTTGAACAAAGAGTGATCCGACTACTTGATAACTGTTTACTATTTCTGTAGTAAGTGCGGAATCACAGGCCCACATCTTGACAAAAAGCTGTCAAAAAGAAATATAAAACGTCATTATATTTTATATTTGTTACGTAACATTCTGTTCATTTTGTTAATTGTGCGCGAGCGATCCAATTGTGAACCTCGTCGTCATCATCATCAGAACAGCCCATCACAAGTCCACGGTGAATGTAGGCGTTGGACTGAAGATGGATTGGCCTTACAGCACCACCGGATTCGTTGATCGTAATTTTGAAATTCTAATTCCCTATGTGCTTTGCTGAGAATTAAACATCGTGAGGAAACCTAACTGATGGATGAAAATAATTAATGAAGTCTATTAATAGAGTAATGAGTAGATAAGATAAAATGAAGATCTAGTAAGAAACACAAGACGATTTTTGATGACGACGTTTTGTGCCATTTTTTGGAGGAGGATGTTCAGCAACGGACATGTCCTCCATCGTGTGATGATGATGACTACTCTATGAATGAATATATAAAGAAACCCTGTACCAAAAAAAGTGCAACGTATAAAAATAGTTATTTATAATATGGCTCCCGCAGAGGCATCTGAGGGGTATAAAGAGCCAATTTAATTACAGGCTGTGAGGCATTTTGGTCTCATTTCACAGCGGTGACAACGCATTTGTAGCCTTATGTGTTTCATGTTGGCTGCAAGTGCTCCTGGTATGCAGTAGTGTCGTCAGGTGAGCTATGAGTTCGTTTTATAAAAATAAAAATTATTTATCAATATTTATCAAAAGTGTTTTGTGTGAGGTTATTTAAGTGTCCGCACTAAATTTTGCGCTGGTAACTCAACATCCTGCAATGAGTTCAGAAGACAATTTCGGGGTAGTCTATAAGAATTGCTAGTTGCAAGTGCTAACTTAGCAGATGTTAGACTATGAAAGAAATTATGAGGCTGGCTGCATGTCTGAGAAATTTTTAAAAGTTTTTAAGTCTTCTAACTCGCGTTGGGACAATGCAGGAGACGTTTCCCTGCTCCAAAAACCCTCTCTAAAATAAGGTCTGTTTCAAGCTGTTAGTAGTTGATTTTAAAAGCATAATTTGTAATACCAATGCTCTTTTATTTTAAATAAAAGATATATTATTAAAAATAAAAGATATATTTTTAATAAAATATCTTTTATTTTAGATTATAAATCAAAATAAAAGGAGTTTAATTAATGAAATAAATACGATTTATGTTAGGTAAACTTGTACTAAATCAAATATGTATTTATATATTTTTTCATAATACGAGTAATTTCTTTTTCATTCCATCTTAAAATTATATTGCGGGAATATTTGGCATAGTTATTTTGGTATTAAAAACTAAATTCACTCACTTCATTATAGCACTTTTTAATTTAATTATTGTGTTTGTCATGCCGTTTGAAAGTAATTAAAACTTTTCCTTTTCAAAAATTTGCAGCGATTTTGGAAAGTAGTTCTTAAATTTTGATACGATGTCACTGCTAATAACTGCGATTTTAAGTTAACAAACACTTACGTGGCTTGCGGGTGTATTGAGTTGGTTGATTGTGCGCTAAAAAATCGATGTATTGTAATTATAAAAGATGGCGTTTTTTATCGGTCTCGACATGCCTTGTACTGGCAGCGGTCAACGCTACTCTGCTTGAAATTTATGTATGACTTCTTTTATAATTTTACCTCTAGCGTTACCTTACAATTGTTTTTTTTTCATTTTTTTAAGATTAGCAATTATACTTATTATATACGAATGACAGTTCTAATCTATAGTCATCATTAAAAGCTATGGCCGTGTTATAGCGCAAAATATCCCAAAAACTAAGTCTTCAGATCTATAATTATATACATGTATGTATGTTTCCTACAATTTTTTTATTAAATCCGTAGGAAAGTTGGATCTACAAATCTAATACTTTTTGAAAGAAACTAAATTGGGTGTTGAAGTCAAATTAGTGATTTTAGATATTTTTTCTTAAAATATCTGTGTACTCACAATTCACGCCAAACTACTGTAGCAATATTCATGAAATTCGGTATGTAAATAGTATTTTAGTAAATATACTATTACTATAATATTAAGTAGTACATATTGTTCCTAGCGTAACATAATATAGCCTACTATTATCCGAAGGTAAAAAAGGAGTTTATTTTTAGATATATTATATTATAATTTTTTTCGAGATGGATCCTTATGAGTCTATCGAATATGAACAGGATAATCCTATCTTATTATATGATAAGCGCACATGCATAAACATACACATACACACATAACACACACACACACACACACACACACACACACACACACACACACACACACACACATATATATATATATACAATATGTAACATAATAATCGCACACTCTCAGACACCCCAATTAGTATATTATGACATAATACATACACTGAATTTTTAGTTAAACATTTTTATGCACTGATTATTTATCAAATTAGTTATACTAATTCCGGAAGAATGTTGTGGCCACAGTACAAATCCACGAACACAAAGACCTTAACGTGCTTGAAATAAAGTTCATTTTTCATAATTTTTATTGAATGACAGAATTAGTAATAATACAAAATAAAACTGCACTCTTAAAAGTCTTATTGCCTTAAGTTAAGGTCCTTTTCAGTTTGTTTTGACTGTACAGATTTACTGTAAATGTAATTTACATAGTTTTAATTATTTTTGGGATAAAAAAATACCTATATTAAAAATGATAAGAATCGATTCAGTAAACGATTCTGAACAAACATAAATAACAAACAAATATATATATATATATATATATATATATATATATATGAGCGTGATGGTCGCGCACAAAAAGTGTCCATGTCTTCTTGTTCGTCCGATAATTTTAAAATGCTTAATTCTTTCAACATTACATTTTATATCATTATAATGTATACGGCGTTAAGGTGACCCAAGAGCCACCCAAGCCGCCGCTTAACCTACTGTCACTGATATTGCAAGATTGGTCTAATTTTTTATTAGTCGCAAACAGACAAATCTTTCGAGTAGGTAGTAGGAGTAGAATGTAACTAATTACTTATTATCAAAACATTGCTTTTTTAACAGCTAGATTAGTTTACTTTACCTATAGCATAGTTTAGTAGAGGTTTGCATGCTAGTATTGTGTTGAAATGTACTTACGTTGTTTGTATATATATGTACTTCTATTTTATTTCCATATTTGACTTAGGTTGGAAGGAACGGATCGTAGGAAGGGGAAATGTGAAGAAAATGCTCTTTTAAGTAATAAGGAATGGAATCCGGTCCAGCTTTTTCTGTGTGATATCTATTCATATCATTTATTGATTAATTTTCATTTTTTAAGATAATTATTCGTATAATTTATTGATTCATTTTCATTTTTTAAGATAATTATTCGTGTCATTTATTGATTCATTTTCGTTTTTTAAGATATTTATCGAGATCATTTATTTTACAAACTTTTTGTTTCCATACAAAAAAACTCCAAGTTTTTCTGACAAAATATAGCTCTGTCTGTTCGTGACATTTCATCACTATCACAATCACAATTTAGCCATTCACTATGGTAGCTACGAGTGCCCGGGTCAAAATCCCTCGTGTCAGGCAACCTATGTTCAGCAATAGACTTTTATCAGCAGAACACTCCTTTGTGCCGTGGGCTGGAGTTTGCGTGTACGTCAGAGAGGACGTCTGTTTTCAACCACTCGGCAACCTTGAAGGACCTGTCCGTCCTAAGTCTGCGCGTGGACAGCGACGACCATCGCCGCATCTACGGATGCCTCTATAGGTCCCATAGCGGTAATGCCGACAAAGACCGACTTATCGACTACATCCAAATGGCTGCAGATTTCGTGCTACACAGGTCCCATCTGCAGAGACGTTATGCTTGGTGATTTTAACGCCCGCTACACTGAATGGTTTGGCTCCCGTTTTACCGATCATGTGGGTAGATCTGTTTATGACTTTGCTTTGGTATATGTAAGGGACACTACATCTAGTCAAGTTCTATCCCCCAAAGGCACAAGTTTCCGTGAACCCCTTTGTCGTATCTCCTCAGTTTCAAGGCACTCCTCTTGTTGCCTCAGCCAGTATCAGAATCCTCGGCGTCGATATATCGAGTGACGTGCAGTTTCGTGGTCACTTGGAAGATAAGGCCAAATTGGCCTCTAAAAAGCTTTGCTTACTCAGCAAATCGGGACAGTATTTCATGCCGGCACACCGTCCGCAACTTTACAAGGCGCAGGTTCGGCCGCATATGGAATACTGTTCCCATCTCTGAGCTCATCATCTGGGGCTACCCAGTGCCAGCTCCTTCCATTTGATCGAATACAGCGCAGAGCTGTTCGGATCGTTTTCGACCGAGCTCTTTCCGATCGGCTTGACTCACTGGAACTGAGAAGAGATGTTGCATCTTTTTGCATATTCAATCGCATTATCGCATCATTTTCATCGCGTTTACCACGTGGAATGCTCTAAAGAAAAAACGCGCGATACCATCCATACCATTTGGATGACTGGCAGTCCATCACTGTGCCATTTAACAGAAGTTTTCTGTCTCGCTGAAAACTTCCTTGTGGAATCGTCTACCACCAGATATTTTACTGGACGGTCACTTACCATCAGGTGAGCCGCATGCTCGTTTGCCTCCTCTTCTATAAAAAAACCGTGTGTCAAAACTAGAATACAGAACTAAAGAGCTGCAGCATATTCTGTGAAAAATTAGAAAACTTATCAGTATTGAAACAGCTCGACTAGTTTAGCTATTTATAGATAGCATTTTGTACAAACGTTTAGTATAGTATTTTAATATGGGGACACGCGGCTGACACTGATTTTTTTTTTTGCAGAATTGGGTAGTAAGAGCAATCTGTGAATTGAAGCTTAAGAACCGACAAAAATTTTAGAAAATTGATATATTTACTTTGACCTCCTAATTTATTTATTAAAATATAATGTACGTACACAAAAATGAAAGTAGTTTTACAAAAATATGTGATGTTAATTTCGTAAATACTAGGAACAGACACAAGCTAGTAGTACCAGTTACCCGACACCACCGAGTCAGTAATTCATTCCTGGGGCGATGTATATGCTTTTACAACAAAATCCCAGAAAATATGCGTAATTTGACCCACTCTAAGTTCAAAAACTAATGGAACTAAGTTTGTATAAATGGCAATAAAAATATTGAGGATTACTTATCGGCATAAAAACTATACACATTTACAAAATTTCGGTTGAGTGGTTTCGGAGATTAGTGTGAACAAACATCGTGACACGTGATTTTTATACACTTAAATATAGGTCCTATAATAGTATAGGATTTTGAGGTTGTAACTCCTATATTATCTTTTTTCCGGTTATTAGACATTTTCGTATAATCGTACAAGTCATGCTTTATCATGCTAAGTACTCATTACCGGGGTGTTATACTCATGGTTACAAAAAGGTACATTTACATTGTACCATTTGAATATGGATTGGTAGGAAATTTAAGTATAATCTATTATTATTATTATGGGGTATCTATATAGTTTTCTCATCTGGTTGGGTTCTATAAATATATAATTATAAATGAAAATGAAAAGATAAATATACATAAATATCAATAACATAAAATAAATATAAAAGTACATAAATAAGTAAAAGCCCAACCAGATGGAGGCCCTCGGCAGGGGAGACCAAACGGCCAAGGGTTAGGGGGAAAGGGAAAGAAACCGGCGGACGATGCGGGCGGTATCGAGGAGCACCGCCTTCTGCATTTGAACCTGGAGCGGTCCGCCACGTAGTCCCAGCCGCCTCAGATGACCCGAGAGGCTGACTGGGATTAGCCCGTTTGCAGAGACGACTACAGGAATAATTTCGGTCGGCAGACCACCCCACATGTCGGTCACCTCGTCAGCCAGGTCCAGATATTTTGTTTGCTTGTCTGTTTCGGCTTTCACGAGGTTCTCGTCATACGGAATGGTAATGTCGACCAAAAATATCCTTGACTGTGCCCGGTCCATCAGCACAATATCAGGCTTATTCGCAAGAATAGTCCTGTCTGTGATGATGGCCCGGTCCCAATAGAGCCTGGCGCGATCATTTTCGAGCACGGCTTCCGGCAAGTACTTGTAATACGGCAATTTCCGATCCACGAGACCGTATTTCAGAGCGAGCTCCTGGTGTAGAATTCTGGCTACTAGGTTGTGCCTGTGCAAGTACTCAGAGTTAGAAAGCGCCGAACAACCGGAGATAATATGCCTAAGTAAACTCACCGGGATGGCGACAAGCTCGACAGATGTCGACGGTGCCATCCTTTAGGATGTATCTCCGATAGTTGTTGGTCTTAATAACCTGATCCTGTATTGCACAGACAAATTCCCCGAAGAGATCACCAAAGCGTAGCCAGTGGAGGGAGGCTACTGTGTCTACGAAAGGCTCATGTAGAGCCTTGTAGAACCTCCCGTGGAGCTCCTTCTCCTTCCATACGGTCTCCCGGTCGGAAATGCTCTGCACTGCCGGGTCTTGCCATTGCTCGTTGGCTAAGGATAGAGGGGTAAGTCCTTTATCACAAGAAATGACGTCCTTATAGAATGGATCATCCGATCTCGCCAGGAAGTAATCACGGAGGCTGCACACTTCGCGATTATGCATGGTGAGCGCGCTCAAGAAGCCACGACCACCATGCTTCCGCGGCAAGTACAGCTTCATTACCGACGATCTCGGATGATACATCCTATGGGACGTCATGGTAGTGCGGACTTTTCTATCCAGGGCGTTAAGTTCAGTCTGAGTCCACCTGAGTATGCCAAAGGTATACATGAGGACAGGCATGACCCAACCGTTATATGCGTGTGCCTTATTCACACCGGACAAAAGGCTGTTAAGCACTTTGGTCAAGGGTGCATAAAACACGTCTCAAACTGACTGTTTCATACCAGCCTCATCGATACCGATGTTCTGTGACATACCCAGGTATCGGTATGTTTCAGCCTCGGAAAGGGTTCTTAAGTTGACGGGCATAGATAAGTCTATGCCCTCAGAGTTAGCAACCCTTCCCCTTTCAACATGGGGGGACCGCACACTTATCCGTCCCCAGCTCCATTCTAATAGAATTGCTAAATTCACACGTGATGTTTAGCAATTCCATAAGATGGGAGCGACTGGAGGCGAATAATTATAATTATTATTATTATTACTATAATCACGGTATAGCACGTTGGGGTAAAATGGTCATCTGGTTAATATGGTCACTTTATTATAACTCTAAAACTACATTACTTTTTTAAATAGATGGCTCTGTGATACGATAGCTCTTCATCGGTAAATCATATAACAAAGGTTCAAAATGGCGCTGCTTTATCGACGCCATTTTGACAGTTGATAATAAAGTAAATATTTTAGTTGTTTTTAGTATGGTGTAGTATAGTTAGTTTTTTTTTTAGTTGATTTTCGATGTGTTCATAATTATTGCCAAGGCTTGTTTGCTATTTTTTTCTTTACATATTAGTTATAGTATATGACTTTATGTTTTTGTTTCTGTCCTTCTCCTAGTTTTGGTTTTACAGCGCGGCAAAGCTTAATGTGACCATATTACCCTCACGTACCATATAATAAAACTCTAATACTACGTCTGCTTGAACACATACCTGTAAACCTGTGAACTGATTTGGATGCAAAGCCATTTAAATAGGTAGTAGTAATAGACCGGACATCAGTAACAAAATTGTCGTCTGTAACTTTTGTCCTATAGGATATATCTCCGATTTTTGTCATTTAGTCTAAGTGACATCGTCAAAAGGTCAAGACGCATTCGTTTCATAAATTTATAAAATATTTTTAAAGAAAATAGGCGCGGTTGTGCATTAAAGTATTGTAAGTCACGATACGGAGCAAAAAAGTGAATGTGATTTCGGTTTATTATCGTTAGAATAATGTGTATTTACCAAATAATTTTTAAATTTTATTATTTCGAGTGGATTGTTCTAGAAGAAAGAAAAATTATTGTAATAAGTGCCCTCTGTTATCCAGTAACGTCACTATTTATTTACAAATATTTTAGTGATTAACGATGTGCCTACAACGGATTTTTAGCTTATGTTTAGTAGCGTCACCTACTGGGAAATAGCTAAAATATTTTCTAAATAAATATTCAGTGTAGTATTGCTATATTTCGCTAGAGGGTGTAATACATCCGCGTGATCACAGCTTTTGTATGTAAATGTTCCTAATGTCCGCTCTATAGTGTATATATATACATATTTAAATCTCTTTGTTTGGATAGGACTTTCACTGACGAATAGCTGATGTTATAAGGAGTAACTTAGGCTACTTTTATTTTAGGGTTACGCGCAAAAGATAATTCCACGCGCGCGAAATATTGGGAAATTTTTTGTGTTATAAAACACAAAAAATATTTCTTTTCATGTCCGTTACAGACTATGAAACCATACAACCGATTTTGATGAAAATTTTATGGTGTTTGTTTCAATGGGTCCCTAGATGGTTTATATTCACACCTAGACCCGGTTGGTGGTGCTGTCGTCGTGATCCGGAAATCACCCCTACGAAGCTGTTACGAATCGCTAGTGTATAATGTTTGACAATTGTTTGATTTGTGTAAATCTAAGAAGAAGCATCAAGTCTCTGCTTAACACCTCTCATGTTACATTGCGGCCGTGCCCGGATTGTGTGCGAATATAAATCCGAACATAGTAACAATTTGGGACTTGTATATGTGTCGGTCATTGTAATAGTGGTGTAACTCCATAATATTAAAAAAAATTTATATTCCCATAGTGGGCTCACAATGTATCATATCTTTCATTATAAAAATGAAGCAACTCCACTGATACCACTAAAGTGACGTAGATGTCGCTATTTTGTTTAGTCTAGGAACATATTTGTACTGTTATTCACTATAAAAGTGAGGTATGTCCCAAGTCACTTTTATAATGAAGTAAGTCCGGAGTTGATTCACTTTTATTGCGACCGATTGTTGTCATCCGTTGTACGTGTTGTGATAATTATTAAAAAAGGATTTTCAAAGTCGGTGTTTTTGTGGGGTTTTAATACAATATGTCTAATACAGAAGATTTTAGTGATTCTGGTTCTGAATATCAGCCTATTCCTGGAGAAATTCATACAGATTCTGGTAAGTTATATATATTTTATTAGTTGTTTTTCTAACCTAAAAATATTGTGATAACTTTCAAGTTTATAGACAAGAAAATACGATATCTAAGAATATATTTTTATTTAGGTATGTCCTAGAAATCACTATTATTTTATTGGTTTCGTTTTTATACTTGTTTCAGAAACAGATACAAGTTGTGACGAAAATATTATGATGCCGTCTAGTCTATCAGAACCTGGAACATCTAAATCTAGAAAAAGGTCAATCAACAAGGAAAATTGGACAGTTAATAAAAGAAAGTTATTGCGTAATAGTGGAAAAGGTTATGTAACTAAAATGGGAGTGGAGAAAAATACCAAAATCTTCGAAAATATTGACTGTGGATGTCCTAAAAAGTGTTATACGCTTTTTACAGAAAATGAAAGGCAAGAAATGTTCGAATCATTTTGGAATTTAAAGGACTTTTAATCAGCAAAATGCCTTTCTATATGCATTAGTGAAAAAAGCATCTGTTAATAGAAAACAACCTAAAGATCTGTCACGAGCAGGAAAAAACGTTTCGTTTAAGTATTTTCTCAAATCTCATATTATGACACAACTGGTATGTAAAAAATATTTTTTGAAAACATTCCAAATCAGTGATGGAAGATTATATCGCTGTCTATCAAAAGGCGATGTCTCGCAATGTAAAGATAAACGAGGCACGACTAGTACTCGAAAATTAGATTATTCTGACATTATTGTTCATATACAAAGCTTTCCCGCGTACCAAAGCCATTACATAAGAAAAAGTAATCCTAACCGGAAGTTTTTAAATCCTGGGCTAACTATTCGAAAGATGTACGATCTACATAAAGAAAAATGTTTGACTGAAATGACAGAACCTAAAAAATTAAAATATTATAATAAAGTTTTTAACACCAAGTTTAATCTACATTTCAAGGCACCGCACCAGGATACATGTAAGACTTGCGATAGCTTGAATTTTAAAATTAGAGGCACCGATGACGAGAACGTGATGAAAGAGTTTGAAGTTCAAAAGGAACTTCATCAAAGAAAGGCAGATTCGGCAAGAGAAAATCTACAAATTGATGCTAAAAAGATTAATGACGCGTATGTACTAACCTTTGATTTGCAGAAAGCTTTAGCTTTCCCAAAATTAACTACTTCGGTAGCATACTATAAAAAGGAATCTGTATTTGTATAATTTGGGAATACATTGTTTTAATAACAACACAAGGTACATGAACGTCTGGAATGAGATAGAAGGAGGGCGAGGGTCTCAAGACATTGCAATCTGTCTCGTGAAACATTTAAAAACTCACGCGGTAACACAAAATCACGTCATCATGTATTCCGATTCTTGCACTGGACAAAATCGGAACATTAAGACTACCCTTTTCCTTTTAAAGCTCGTACAAGACCCGGATACTAGTATACCATAGACCACAAGTTTTTAGTGTCCGGGCATTCTTATTTGCCTAATGATGGGGAATTTGGGATAATTGAGAGCGCAAGTCGCCGTCATGGACAAATTTATAGCCCGGATCAATGGATTGAGATCATAAAAACAGCCAAACGCAAAGAACCACATTTTGTTGTAACCGAAATAAAAAATTCCGAATTTATAAGCACTGCGGCATTAGAAAAATCTATTACCAACAGAAAAAAAACAACCTGTGGTTACGACTTCAACTGGCTGAATATTAGATGGCTGTGGTTTGAGAGGAATCGTCCTTTACAATTTCAATTTAAAGAAACGCTCAACGCTGACATGCCCTTCTACAAAGTAGATCTATCAAAAAAGCAACAAGGACGACCAGCTTACTTGTACAATATTCAACATGGCCCACTCCATCCTTCAAGAAGACCAGTCACTATTGCTAAAAAGAAGGATATGCTTGATCTTCTCCCATACATTCCACCAATTTACCATCAATTTTACAAAAACCTTATTGTAGACATTCCAACACGGTCAAGCACACATAATGCTGATGAACGTTCGTCTGATGACGAAATAACCTACGATTAACTACTTAACGAAATCACAATAAGTATAACTCGTCAATTTAACAGTGAAGTAAGTCCACAAAAAAAAATTATAATTCGTTTCATTAAAATAACTTCGTCTTATTTTTAAGTAACTATATACTATTATAATATTTCATTTGTTAACTACAATAAAAAATATAAAGCATTGAATAAAAATTTGTAGTTTTTTTTCTACGCGTTAATTAACAAAACTCTTAATTTCTCAAAACTTCATTGCATGGAGATAATTCACTATTATAATGAACGACACATATATCAAACGTACTACTACGATATGCACAGGATACTTATATTATGTATTTCAATTTCAAATTTAATATCAATGTGAGGAAGTTTGGTCAAGTCTGCCCGGCTGAATCTAAATATACGTAATACTACTTTTAATTATTTTAAATTACTTTTAAAGTACTATATAAGATCCTTAGTAGCTCAGATGGTTAGTGAATATTAATAGCAAACCGGGTTCGATCCCCGCCGGCATCAATGAAATTGTTAGTTGCAATTTAAACTGCTGATTTACCACGAGCTCGACCTTAGCTCACCCTTAGTCTATAAAAAATACAAAACCCTTAAAGTAATATGGGCACCTATAAAAATGAACTCAATGCACGTAACTTGAAATACTATCAGTTAGTCGCTTTATAAAGGTAAACTGCGATTCCGTCATCAATTTTTGTCACAGTCTATAGATATTATATTTCTAACGAAGTTGCGGAAAAAGTAAAATAAATCATGAGATAATAGTTAGCCACAATATAAATAATGCATTTAAGGGGTATCCCTGACCAAAATGTTGCGAAAGTGCGTTTTTCAGACTCATTTATCTCATTAGTTATGAAAAATAAACTTCATCTAAAAGTACATTATTAATGTTCGATATCTTATCATCACATTCCACGTTCTAATTTATTTTTATGTGCTATAAATACATTTAAAATCAACTTTTAAAAAATTACTAAAATTCTTGACACATTACATGTATCTGTTGCTAAACGCAACGCTATAATTATTTGAGGATTACACTAATGGATAGATAATTAAAAAATTTATATTCTCCACGTTTTATTTAAATTTTTAAGTTCGTTTTTCTTTTTTAATTGAATTTCGAAAATTGTGTGACTTCTATGATAAAGGGGCGTGCGCAGATTGCGGGCGGCATTACGCTGTATGCGTTCGTACGTTCGATGGCCGTGTCCCTCGTCGCCATCGTCGACGTTCCGTATTTCGCCGCAAACATAATATTATTTGAGTACCTACCAACCGATGCGCTTACGTCACGGTAATATTATTTATACAGTATTGTAACTCGGCCGTATCTTACAAAATAAATCCTACAGTCGTGCGGTACGTAAACATGCGATAGGGCTGCCTGCCTCCAGCATTTTTACATTTGCCCATTGCCCATGTGTTGTATAACTCAATGCATTTGCCTACTTTGTGTTTCCATTTAATTTTATGGTTGTACTTAAATATACTTTTTTATATAAACAAATATATAATAGGTACTTTGTGAATTGAATAGGAAGTGTTCAATAAAAATGCGTGTCGTTTTTTGATTGGTAGATTTAAAACCATGTTTATGTTTGAATAACAAATCGGTCTTATAAATTTGCGGCCGAAAAATATTTGCGCCTCGGCTGAGACGTACGAAATGCTTTATTATTAAAATTTTAAGTATAAAAAATCTGCATTATAATATAAAGCTTAATTAAAAATTGTTTTGGGAAACATGGACAAGTTGGAGTAAAGGAATATCTTTTACTTGGTTATAGATACCTGCAGCTACTTTACAAGTTATGTTTGGTTTTAAATGATGTTTAGATTTATTATTTTTTTATTTCTATTATATTTTCTGAAAGGGTCCTAGGAAGGAATTGTCCACCGCGCTACCCAAATGCGTGTTGGCGAACTTCGCATGTCTTCGAAATATTTTTTTCTTATTTCTCAGACATGGCAGATTTCCTCACAATGTTTTCCTTCACCACTGAGCACGTGGTAAATCAACACTTAAAATTGGAATTGTAATTTCATTGGTGCCGGCGGGGATCGAACCCGGTTTGCTCGCGCACTGTGAAAATTTTAGCAAGCGCTAACCATCTGAGCTACCACGGCTCCTCTCCTCTCGAGCTAGAGCCTTTATTTTATTTATGGCACGATTTTTGTCGCATGCCAGCGCTTACTTTTGGTTCTGGCAAAAAGTTGTGAAACATGTGCGAACGTCAGAATTGTGCAAATGTTGGTCGCAGATATTTTACCTGCACTTCAAAATTTTATTGTGTGAGTATTTTAAACTATTTTTACGGATTTGATGAACCATATTAAATAAAAAATAGTCTCCTATTTTTCTCTCTATGTTTTGATCTCCTAAAACGAGTTTGAGTTGGTAAAATCTAGGCAAACTTAGGGTAGGGTTGTCAATTATTATTTTGATAATAAAACTAGTGAAATTCCGCGGTTAGCGTGAACGTAGTTAGAATATAATATAACCTTTATGTTTTACATAAATATCCTAAAAAACTTATTATTTTAATATGTTACTACATATAAAATTAACAAGTTTATTGCATTTTTATTTAAGTAATTTTTTTATGCAATTTCTATCTACTTCTATTTTTAGGAACCTTTATTTAGTCTGAATTATACATAACACTATATTACTGATTTACTTACTTATACGTAGTTTTCTTTTTTGCAATTACAAATATCTTGTGAGGTTGAAAAAGACAGTAATGAAAAAATAATAAGAAGAATAATAATTGACGTCAGCCACTTCTTTTCATAAAAAGTTCAAATCATGGTCCATTAGGTTGCAGCTTCACCGAACCACAACTTATAATAATAATAGGTAATAACAATAATAAACTCGGCCGTTTGGTCTCCCCTGCCGAGGACCTCCATCTGATTGGGCTTTTATTTATATATGTATTTTAATATTTATTTTATGTTATTGATATTTATGTATATTTATCTTTTCATTTTAATTTATAATTTTTATATATTTAGATATTTATAGAACCGAACCAGATGAGAAAATTATATGAATACCCCAGGAAAAATAAAATATATATATATATATATATACATATACATATATATATATATATATAACCACTTATATATATGGTATGTACGTATGTATACGTATGGGCGTACATATGTGTTCATTTAATAGCTGCAGCTGTTTGTTTATAATTTTTAAGGAAGTTAAAAAATTTGTAATCAATTTCTTACATTCAAGATAGTATTTTGTTCTATTTATTAATACCCACCCAGTATTACTAATCACAAATAATCACAATATCTCATTAGTTATTGTAATTGGGTAAAAAATATCTATTTAGTTACTAATGCTATATTTATTATTTTAATAATTACCTACCCAGTAGGTAAATATTAAAATAATAAATGTAGCATTATAAACAGTAAATCTTCCTCAAACTCAATTTACTAATATTGTTCCTAAATAAGTAATTGCAGATAAAAGATTAGTAGGTAATAACTACTGCTCCTCAAAATTATATTTGACCTCAAGGTAAAACATATCCTAAAATTCAGTAGCTAAATAAAATAATAATACCTACTATTCAAGTATATTTTCAATATGTAAGTAAATGAAAATAACAAAAATGAAGTACCATTCGCATGTAAAGTTCGAATCCATAATTAACATTTCGACAAATATTATAATTTACTCTATAAAAAGCTAATTCAATATTAGCAGTATGGTATATAGTTAAAAATAATCTAAATAGTCATTTTTATTAATTAGATAATATATGAGAATACATAATTCTAATATAATGCAACTAATATACCGAATAAAGAAAATTAAAATACACATATTGTCTGCCGTGTCTATTTCCATAAAATAGTTCATTGACATTGATAAATTAATACTACGTTCGCACCAGTAGGTGGCGTCTTGCAGATTTCTACGCGATATATTGTAGCGAGAGCGTCGGCAGGCCAAACGCTCAAGGTCGTTCGCTAGAGGTAAAGCCTTAATAGAGTCACATTATAAGAGGTATAGCTATGCTTCAGCTGTACTATAGTTGTAGCACGAATGGGTTGGCTAGACCGGTGTAGGACCACGCTTTCACAGAATACCAGCGTAAAATAGCAGTTTATTGCTGCTTTGTTTCACATAGTGAATATAAACAATCGGAGACCCCGTTTTGATTCTTAATTGAGGATAAATATGGATGTCTATGGGCCACATCATCCACTTACCATCAGTTAGACTGTGTGCTCGTTTGTTACACAATTCTTTGATAAAAAGTTGCAGTTGCATGTTACGGTTTGCAACACGAATGGGTCAGCTCGACTAGGGAACATGTTCGCTCTCACAGAATACAAACGTAAAATGACATATTACTGCTGCTGAATTTCATATAGCGAGTGTAGAGAACCGGATATCCGTTTTAATGGTATCCATACATTCTAAATTAGCCCTCAGGGATGACAACTCACCTACATTTTGAGTTTTAGCCTAGGGTAGATATTAGTGTCCCTGGGCTGCACCGTCCACTGCCATTACGTGGACTGATTGCTCTTTTTTGCTCTTATTAAGAACTTTACTTCCACACTAGGATTGATTGGTAGTAAAGATACATAAATTGCACAAGGACAAAAATCAAATTCGGAACAATTATTAGTAAGACATACAAATGCTCGTTCCGTTCCGGATTTGAAACCGCGGCCTATAGCGCTGCATCTCATCGGTAAGTCACTGCGCCACGGTGTCGTAAAACTATATTACACTTCCTCTCATGACAAAAAAAACACAACTCTCGTATGAAATATCCCAACAAAAGCATAAATGTAACAAGGGGGCCAAGTTCAGTACTAATTAATTACGATTGGGGTTGTCGGCTTCATCGACAGAATTCGACAGAATTCGATAGATTCGACAGACAGAAGAGTTATGCGCGTATGTTTTTACGTATGTTCACCGAATAAATTAAAAGAAGTGAAGTGAAGAAAACTAAATCTAGTCCAGTTCAATCCCCAGATAACACAAGGAACCCCTTTGTCATATCTTCTCAATATCAAGGCCCTCGAGAATCCTCGGCATCGACATATCGAATGACGTTCAGTTTCGCGGTCACTTGGAAGAGGAGGTCAAATTGGCCTCTTAAAGCTTGGCGTGCTTTGTAGAGCCGGACAGTATTTCATGTCCACACAAAAGCGTAAGTTCGGCCTTGACATGAAATACGGTTCATATCTCTGGGCCGGGGAACCCCGGTGCCAGTTCCTTCCACTCGACCGCATCAAGCGCAGAGTGGTTCGAATCGTCAGCGATCGAGTTATTTCTTACAGGCTTTACTCACTGCCGCTACGAAGAGATGTTGCATCTCTTTGCGAATTATATCACATCTACTACGTTGAGTGTTCAGAGGAATTGTTAGGACTGATTCCCGCCGCTCAATTTCACCATCGCACATCGCGACAAAACTCGCGATACCATCCATACCATCTGGATGATTGGTGGCCCATTACCGTTCATATTGTGGAATCGATTACTATCGGCGATATTTAACCGATACGACTTAAAGACCTTCAAAAAAAATCTACTCTTTTTTAAAAGGCCGGCAACGCACCTGCGATTCCCTTAGTGTTGTAGTTGTTGATAGGCGGCGGTAGTCACTTACCATCAGATGAGTTGCATGCTCGTTTGCCCACTCTCATATTAACTTGCGCATGCACCAACAGCTACCTATAATACAAGAGCACCCTATAATACGTTTTTCTGGCCATGTGTTAGTACTGTCGAAACTGTCTGAGTACTTAGGAGACTTATAATAGATACTTAAGTAACATATATAAAATTCGACTTTTATACTATAACGTTAGTACAATTATTACATTGTCTGGCAACGGATGACGTAATTTCTAATATTATTCCGAGGAAAATATTTAAAAAAAACTACGCTTCTACTTTAACAAATTTATGTTGCTATTTTATACACCTTTGCTACCTATTACCTGCCAAAGCCACGATGATGCGAATTTCACAGTAGCCCATCGTTCCTATCTACGTTGGGAGCATGGTCTGTTTTTTCAGCTCTTATAAAAAAAGGAATTAAATCAAAAACTTAAAAACGGCGCCAGTAAAAGTTTCCATGCCAGATTTAAACTAGTACGTATAAAGCTTCATGCATAAACAAACATACATATATGTTTAATGTATTATTAAATTTTTTAAATGAAGCCCAATATTTTCTTGTGCCATACGGCCAACAGTGAAGGACCACGTCCCAGATCCATAAGTCATCATTGGCAACACGCACTGGTTGTACAATCTTGCTTTCAAGTTGTGTGGTATACTTGACGAGTGCTTTGTGGCATTCCTTTGAGGAGGCCTATGTTCAGCAGCGGACTTGTGTACAACTGTAATGATGATTTAAACACAAATTATATATATAATGTATATATATATATATATATATATATATATATATATATATATATATATATATATATATATGTATGTATATATGTATAAATACACCGATAATATTACTGTTTCATATTAAATAAATTTATTTAATATTAATTATACATTATTCTGACATTTTATTTGACATTATATATATTTATTTTATTTTATTTTATTTATTAAATCCGTCGCAGTCAGCTCAAGAAATCGGACTGGTTATTCGTCGTTATTAATGAGTTGTCGCGTTTGGGAATGCATCAAGGCTTGAGGCTGACGTGAAGTTGTAATGAAACTAGCTGGACCGGCACACGTTGTTCTGATTCTTTGGTATATATAAAATTTATTAATAACTTCACTGTAGTTGCTACCTATTGGATCCAGATTTTTGGATTTTATTTTTCTGCACTAAAACAACTTAAGTATGTATATTTACTCCCACACTTTCAGAAACCTCAGCGTCAAAATTTTTCCTCACCCCCTTGCTGCCTCCAAACCCCCCAAATAAAAAAAACATTGTATAATTGATTTATAAATTGACTCAAGCACCACCTATCGGATTCTAGCATAGCTATGAACCATCGTTTAGATAAAACAATTGTTATATTTAATGAATATATATTCAATCGGTCAAGTCGTTCAGAAGTTACACGATCACTAACAGACGCACCATCATATAAAATAAGATAAATAGTAATTTTATTAAGGGTTGATTTTTTCATTACCATATTTATTTACTCCGTATCACTATATTTGTAAAATCACAACCACTATATTTCTGATGTACTATATTTTTTGTCTTTTTTTGCGGTGCGTAAATAGGTATATACAGATGATGGTTTTCTGACTTGTGAACACTCAACGTATAATTGCCCATGCGCGAAATAGGGAAAATCGAAGTTGATTCCGCAAATTTTCAACGATTGGCCTTGCGATTTATTTATGGTCGTAGCAAAAGCCAGACGCATGGGAAATTGTAGACGCTTAAAATGGAGTGGCAAATCCATTGGTATCATCGGTATACACGAGATCAAGACATCCTCTCCTTTGTATTTTCCTTGATGATCTTGGGCTCGATGACGTTATTCATTAACTTTTTCATAGCCAGTCTCGTTCCATTACACGGTCGCGGTTAATTAATTTTACGTAGCATAATCGCAACTGATTCTACTTTTAATTGTAAATTGTGAGGTGATAGTCCAGGCAATCCAGGGAATTTAAAAACTTAGTAGGATAGTCTTAGTCCTCACGGATGACAACGCATCTGCATTTTGATTCGTTATCGAGGATAGATGTAGATGTCTATTGGCCGCAGCAACCACTTACAATCGGGTGGACTGTGTGCTCGTTTGTCACCCAATCCCATAAAACAAAAAACAAAAGACTACGTCATCCTGGTTTGTAACTGGGTCAACTGATTTGTATGAAAACAACTCTCCTGGAAGAAAATTCGGAATGGTCGCATTGATATCATCGAGAGCTTTGTGTTTGGCCGCCTTATTTAATTATGGTTTTTAACTGGTATTCTATGTCCATAAAAACACGCTTAATAAACTCCTCTTTTGAGTCGACGAAGTGACAAAAAAGTGGGTAGTGTAATTAATCCGGGCGAGTTGTCACCTGCGACCTTTCCATTTCCAATATTTAAGAGCTGTTTCGAAAACATGAAAATATGAGCCAAATAATACTATATACAAATAATACTGAGATACTTACAAAGATGGACATGTCGCTACCTTTGTTATTATATTTACATAGATACTTCATCGATTAATGGAATTACAATATTCCACATTAATGTGAGCTTCAAAAACTGTGGACAATATTGGCGACTACGGCAGAAAATCCAATGATTGTCTACTTCAAAATCTTGTTGTTCTACTTTCACAACTACTGATCGCCTACCGTTCGCAAATGATCGCCTACGATACAATGGGTAATCGTCATTTCCCGTGATGGTTTCAGCAATCAGGTCCCTCAAGTATCGCTTGGACCACTTGTGTCGACCATACAGGGTGAGTTTTTATTGAAACCTCCGCAAGTTACATGTATCATGTGCTTAGTCACTACTACATGCAATTTTGGGTCAATGGTTTCATCGGGAATGTCAGCTGAAATTATTTATTCAATTACATTTGCCCTTATTTTGTCAACTAACCGAAATAATATATGCGCACGAGGCCCTAAAATGACAGTTTAGGGCCAACGCGAATCGGTTGTCAGTGGTGCGCGCGCAGGACAGATTTGCGTGTCATAAATATGTCTAGTTGCGCGGTAAAAGAATGCAAAATTTACGATACAAAGATTAAAAAGGAACATGAGATATCGTATCATCGGTAAATAACCTTATATTAACCTTTAACCGTACGGGCGGGGTCTGGCCAGACCCCAGGCGCTTTTTTTTAACGGTAATTTTTGACATTGACAAGTAACGGTCGCGCGCTTTCGGCTAATCTCAGTGCGCCGCAGAGTCTCTCGACAGGTGGACGTACGTCGCGCTTTCGCTGAGGTAAATACGTATTTTACCTACTTGGGGATCCCTGTAGACCCCACTCGTGCTTTTACGTACTATAAATTTTCAATGTGGTTATTTTTATTCTTGCTTCTTTTTCAGAGTTAGAGTTCTAAAACAAAAAAAATGAGTCGTCAACTCTCAGAAAATAGCACAAATAAAAAAAAAGCCATAGCACAAATCCTAGAGGACTGCAGTGACTCTGAAAGCGAAGAAAATCAAGAAATTTCAGAAGATGAGGTTAACATAACTCTCACTGATTCCGATGAAGCTGGTCCTAGTGCCCCAAAAATGAAGCGTAGATGCTTTATTTACCCAAGGGCAAAAGACAAAAAGAGTACTATTGTTTGCAAATCTTGCAATAAAACCATTTGCAAGCCTCATTCAATACCAATTACTTACTGTTTACCATGCCAACGTAATGATTAATTTTTAATGTTACTGTTCCATAGCAATATTGAGGTGTTGTCATTTTTTTTGTTTATATGTTTATTTTTAATTTTTGTTGTAGTTACATGTTTTTAGTTCCCATATTATAGAAAAATAACAATAAGTTTCTCAAAAGTTGATTATTTTGTAAAATTTTAGCGTATTTGTTAAGTGCCTTGAAAAAATTCTAAGTACGAGTGGTTAATTTTTAATTGTTTCTCATTGTCAAGAGACTGACTTTTTTAAGAATAATAAATACTTTTTTATAAACAATAATGTGCCTTTTATTATAATCTAAAATCTAATTTTAAAAAAATCCAAAAATAAATAAATATATGGCAAATATTTATGGGGATACTTCAGGACCCCGCCCGTGACGGAACGGTACCAAAAATAACGCGTGTAGCTAAAGGTTAATTTTGTTACAATAAAATGATTACGTAAACGCATTCCCTAAGTTTTATTTTACAGTTCGTCAGTTTAGTTACGTTACAAGATTAGGCCAGGGTTGGATTCAGACCGTTAAAAATATTGTACAAGGAAAATATAAAAATACTATTTGTCAAAATTATATCACGTTTGATGTTTCATGTTTCTTTTTTCCCATGCGCCGGGATTTTGGCGGCACGCGTCTAGTTTATCCTTACCGAAACGTATAGATAAGCTGGACTTTTTTGGACTGTTTTATTTTGAAGTGAAAACTTCTTTAGCGGCGTTGCACACTTTTTTGTAATGGGTAAAAATGTTAAACTCGCGTCAGGACACGTGACCCTGATCGAAAATCGGTGTATCGAGTGATCGGTGTAGGAGAGGAAGTATCCCCCTCTCTTTCTACGGCGCGGCGAAAATGTATGCATGCGCCTTCTGTTTCATTTAGGCGGCACAGAGCGCTTACGCGAATGTTCGTGTGTGATAATTAAAGCAATTCGTGCAAAATTATTCCCTAATAATTTCAAAGTATTAAAAATGCACAACGTTAATATTCAAGTTTTCACTTCTGCCGGCACTCCCAGAGTGCAACTCGTCGTTTTTTATTTCTGTTTTATTTTATGTCTAATAAACTTAGTGTAAGCTAAATTTTGAATATTCGTACCCAATATATTTTATATTCAATAAGAGTAAAAACGAAAAGACTACAAAAGAAATACCTACTTAATTGAAATTGAAAATCTGACTCACAAAATATTTTGAAATTCTGTTTTTAAACCGATTGCTTCTGGAGCATAGAGTTTTTATCGTAGTAGCCCCTCATTATAGTTGTATCAAGGATACAACATAAATGCATCGATCGAGCACTGACTGACCAGAAAGAGAGCTAATGCCATTTTCTTTAAACACGGTACTAATGTTCAATACACAAATTCTCGATATCGTAGGGTTAATATTAAAAAGTAAAAGGACCCAATAATAATACAAGTCGGTTTAGTATTATTACGATACTACATATACACTAAGAAATAATGGTACAAATACGATAGTTATACTACGAAATTTGACCCTGGTTACGTCGTGTTATGACGTTTGTGCTACTTTTTTATGTAGGTATGTAAAAGTTATGAGTAAAATATTTACATGGGCGTATCCTTTCTTTTGAATTAATTGTATCTACTTCATTATCATTCACTGTGGAACGCATTTCTGCCATACCAATACCAATGTTAAAACTATCTATCTCTCACTGCTCGTCAGTGCGGTTTGAACGTGACTAAAGCGCTTATTACATTATACAATTTTTAGAAACTTTATTTAGGAAGTAGGAAGGTGTAATCTTTTATTTTAATTATATTATATATATTAAATTTTAATTATATTCATATTGGACAGTTTTTTCTTAATGACAAGTACTCTTTTCTCTTTTTTTAATATCCATTGTTCCCACCATGGCTAAGGCAAGTCCTATTTTCTGCTGTTTTGATAAATACACCGCGCCATCGATCAAACGTGCAACCACGTCGATATTTCTTTACGAATGCGCTTCGTCATGATTTAGAATTCAATTTAGTGTATTGTGATCACTAGCTTCCAATTTAGGTTCCTAATTAGATTTTCTAAAAATTGTATAATGTAATAAGCGCTTTAGCTCGTCGCACATTTGATTGACTTTAAGGACCTAAGTCAGGTCGTCTTCTCCTTGGCATTTTAAAACAAGAACAATAAAAAAGTTTACGCGTACCTGCTGACAAACTGATGATGGATTTTAATAACCGTCTTAAAATTTATTTATTTTCCGTTTTTGACAACTAACCGACACATTTACACTTTTCTAAAATTTCATTTTATTATTTTTAAACAAAACAGACCAAAGAGATCGGACCACACTTCACAGTTACGCATAGACTTAGAATATACTGGCGTACTAGGCACAGACCATCGGAAGAGATCGGACCTCATTTCACATCTGGGAATATTTTGTATTGGAAAACTAAATTGTCATTTTTATTATTTTCTGTTACTTATTTCTTATGTTTTTCACCGTTTAAACTTTAAACCTTCCCTGAACTTCCGCAAATACTTCAAGATCAAAATTAGCCAAATCGGTCCAGCCATTGTCGAGTTTTAGCGAGAGAAATGAACAGCGATTGATTTCTATATATATATATATATATATATATATATATATATATATATATATATATATATATATATATATATATATAGATATATATATATCACAGCCCATGAAAAGTTCACTGCTAAACATAGATAACAAACACAATGGGGAGGATATTTGCCAAAGTTATCCCGGGATGCACGTCGTTGCGTTCTATTGTAAATTGAAACGCAACTTTAATTTTGAACGGCCAACATACAATCGACACAGTAATGGTTTTAGCCTTCTATACATAATATCATAATTTACCATTCATACTTTAACGTTACACATTAATTCACCTTTTATGTATATTTGTAATTATCTTTCATTTTTTTTTCAATATAGAAATTTTTTTTCATCTCTTAGTTCTTGAATTATATGCAATTAACACAATTAAAGTGAAGATTTTCGTTTTGGAATTCAACTAAATCAATATATTATATAAATCACCCGAGATCTTGGGCAAACACACGTATTTTTAATTATTCTCATTCCATAAACCATATTGATTAACAGCGATAGCTCATGGAGCGCTTAGTCTATTGTGCGGGTAACACGGATCTGAATTTAAATTGCTAGTTGCAATTTTTGTTCTCATTTAGCACTTGTTCGGCAGTGAAGGAGGAAATTTGCATCTCTGACATATAAAGAAAAATATTTTCTATCACGAGGAAACCTGCATGGAGAAATAAACAAGGAAATTTTTATTATGGCAGCGCAGCGTGGCGGACATTTCCTTGCCCTGAAACCCTCTCAGAAATAAGAGGAGGCCTGTGTTCAGGATTGGAACGTATATAACTAAAATTTTACTTTATTTTAACTTAACTTAAAATCTAGCCGTGTGGTGGCGGCATAGTAGAAACCAATACTCATCCTACAGGTGTCGTAAGAGTCAACTTGGGAAAAGTTCTAGTGTTGCCCAAAATCGGTCTTGGTCTTGCAGTCTTGGTCTTGTTCTTGCATTTTTGCAAGACCAAGACCAAGAACAAGACCGCCTAATTTTAGCAAGACCAAGACCAAGACTGACCGTGCAAGATTTGAGCAAGAACAAGACTAGACCTGCGAGTCTCTTGCGTCTTGCAGTTAGGAATGAGTGTCGTTTTAGGGAGTATAGGAGTTCGGGTATACGCTTAGGGACTCTATGAGACGCAAAAAATATATAAAAAAAATTTGGAAAATCGGACTTATGCGCATTACGAATAATACCATAAACATACATAGCGGATGAAAAAATCCACTACAAGAAAAAACAGTGCATCCCTAGTTTTGACCATCGGCACTTTGATAGTGCGCGGCGTCTTGTTGTCGGCATCATCAAAGGTCGAATACTGACCTGTCAAAGAAATTTTGCAGCTATTCGGAAGTACGAGGTCAAGATACATGCGCCGGCGGCTTCCATTGATATCGCATTCAATCGTCCCCGCCGCGCCGCACGCACTACATTTGACACTGTTTGAATGCCGCCACAGAGTACATGTTCCAAAGAATAAAGTAAGTTTCCGGGTGCTCAGAATGGACACGAATACATTATGCTGATCTCGCAAGGAATATTGTAATTAGATAATTAGGATAGGTAGATACCATAATAATTTATTCTAGTAAGTAATTATTATAATATTAACTATATGGGTTTATAATAATTACTTACTATTATTATTATTACCTAATAGATAAACATGTTCAATAAGTTCACTGCAAATCTCGAATTTTGGAAGTGTGTGTTTTTGAACACAAAGTGTTCGAATATGTCGTCACCCATTTGATAGATATTGTAGACACTTTTAACACACTTGAAACGTATAAACATTTTGTACAATGCTAATCGAATAATGTAAAAAGTGTGCATATTAAATAAAAAGCGTAAAATAAGATCTATGTACTTTTTAGGAGCCTGAGTATCTCTTAGAGAACCGTTTAAAGAAATTGATTGCATCGAATTGATGTAAATAATAGTGATTTGCACAATTTTAATAGTAGAAATAAAAATTAAATCACAATACCTGCTTTCCGGTTACACAAAGTATATAATGCGTTCTTGGGTAGCGATATACGCTTATATAATAAGATTCCAAAAGAAATGTTAGATCTTTCACCTTTTCAATTTAAGTCAGACAAAAATGCTTCGAACTGACCTCTCGTACTACACATTTGACATTTTATGTTTGACTTATCGCTTTACATAATTATAGAACTATTGTAAAAATATTTTGAAAAGAGCAACTACTGAATTTCTTACTTTCTTCCAAGATTCTTCTCGGTAGAATCAGAACCCCTGGACATGGAAAAGAAAAAAATGAGGAAAACAGTGATTATATGACTATTCAAAAGTGTATTTTTAGTGCCTAGTTGAATAAAACATATTTGAATTTTGAATTTCAAACGAGTGAAGGCAAATTTAATTTAATTA